CCCCGCACCCAACTCCCGGCCCCACACCCAGCTCCCTGCCCCGCACCCAGATCCCGGGCCCGCACCCAGCTCCTGGGCCCCGCACCCAGCTCCCGGGCCCGCACCCAACTCCCGGCCCCACACCCAGCTCCCGGCCCCGCACCCAGCTCCCGGCCCCACACCCAGCTCCTGGGCCGGCACCCAGCTCCCTGCCTCGCACCCAGCTCCCGGCCCCGCACCCAGCTCCCGGGCCGGCACCCAGCTCCCGGGCTGGCACCCAGCTCCCTGCCTCGCACCCAGCTCCCGGCCCCGCACCCAGCTCCCGCCCCGCACCCAGCTCTGGTCCCCGCACCCAGCTCCTGGGCCCCGCACCCAGCTCCCGGCCCCGCACCCAGCTCCCGGGCTGGCACCCAGCTCCCTGCCTCGCACCCAGCTCCCGGCCCCGCACCCAGCTCCCGCCCCGCACCCAGCTCTGGGCCCCGCACCCAGCTCCCGGCCCCGCACCCAGCTCCCGGCCCCGCACCCAGCTCCCGGCCCCACACCCAGCTCCCGCCCCGCACCCAGCTCCCCGCCTCGCACCCAGCTCCCGGCCCCGCACCCAGATCCCGGGCCCGCACCCAGCTCTGGGCCCCGCACCCAGCTCCCGGCCCCGCACCCAGCTCCCGGCCCCGCACCCAGCTCCCGGCCCCACACCCAGCTCCCGCCCCGCACCCAGCTCCCCGCCTCGCACCCAGCTCCCGGCCCCGCACCCAGATCCCGGGCCCGGCACCCAGCTCCGGTCCCCGCACCCAGCTCCCCGCCTCGCACCCAGCTCCCCGCCTCGCACCCAGCTCCCCGCCCCGCACCCAGCTCCCAGCCCCGCACCCAGCTCCCGGGCCGGCACCCAGCTCCCTGCCCCGCACCCAGATCCCGGGCCCGCACCCAGCTCCCGGCCCCACACCCAGCTCCCGCCCCGCACCCAGCTCCCGGCCCCACACCCAGCTCCCGGCCCCACACCCAGCTCCCCGCCTCGCACCCAGCTCCCGGCCCCGCACCCAGATCCCGGGCCCGGCACCCAGCTCCGGTCCCCGCACCCAGCTCCCAGCCCCGCACCCAGCTCCCGGGCCGGCACCCAGCTCCCTGCCCCGCACCCAGATCCCGGGCCCGCACCCAGCTCCCGGGCCGGCACCCAGTTCCCAGCCCCGCACACAGCTCCCGGCCCCACACCCAGCTCCCGGCCCCACACCCAGCTCCCGCCCCGCACCCAGCTCCCGGCCCCGCACCCAGCTCCCCGCCTCGCACCCAGCTCCCCGCCTCGCACCCAGCTCCCAGCCCCGCACCCAGCTCCCGGCCCCGCACCCAGATCCCGGGCCCGGCACCCAGCTCCGGGCCCCGCACCCAGCTCCCCGCCCCGCACCCAGCTCCCGGGCCGGCACCCAGCTCCCTGCCCCGCACCCAGATCCCGGGCCCGCACCCAGCTCCCGGGCCGGCACCCAGCTCCCGGCCCCCGCACCCAGCTCCCGGCCCCGCACCCAGCTCCCGGGCCGGCACCCAGCTCCCGGCCCCGCACCCAGCTCCGGTCCCAGCACCCAGCTCCGGTCCCCGCACCCAGCTCCCTGCCCCACACCCAGCTCCCGGGCCGGCACCCAGCTCCCGGGCCCCGCACCCAGCTCCCGGGCCCGCACCCAGCTCCCGGGCCCCGCACCCAGCTCCCGGCCCAGGCACCCAGCTCCCGGCCCCGGCACCCAGCTCCCGGCCCCGGCACCCAGCTCCCGGGCCCGTCCCACTGGGAGAAGCCCACCCCCACTGCTCCCCGTGGGGCCTGACGGCATAGGAACAGGGACCACCCACTTCATGGAGGGACTGGGCTGCCCAGAGCCACCCTGGGCGGGCAGAGCCGGCAGGTAGGAAGGAGCCAGCGAAGGCAGAGGGAGGGGCCTGGCTGTTTCCTGTTCCTCTGGGCCGGGCTGGGCGGGCGGGAACCCAGTGGCAGAAAGGAGCCCCACCCAGCCCCACCCAGGTGCCAGGGCCTGAGAGGGATGCAGGGAGGGAGCCCCCAACACCTCCTCATCCCTCAACCCTTCCCTTCAGGAACCGGCCACGGGCGGGGGAGGGGGGCCTGCGTCTGCGAGCCAGGCGGCTCGCCCGGGTGTGGGAACTGCCCCCCGGCCCCCAGCACCCGTCCAGGTTCCTCTTCCTCAGCTCCTGGCCTCTGACCGCGGGGTTCCCTGGGTACACCCTCTCCCGCACCCAGGACCCTCGCGGACGCTCTCTCTGTGCCCGCTGAGTGGGTGTGCCCCGGCTCAGCATCTGGGTCAGGATGGGGAGGGGGAGCCGTCCTGTGAGCTGATTTGTGTGAGTGAGCTGCCATCATGCCCAGCTCACTGTCCTCCAGCCCCACCATCTGCCAGGGGCTGCCTTCCGCCTGGCCCGCCACCCAGGGTGAGTCCCTGCCGGCCAGGGCGAGGCCCCCCCGCCCAGGGCGAGGCCAGCTCCTGGCTGCCCCCGGCACCACCTCATCCGGCTCCTCCCTTGGAAGCTGGGCCCCAGGTCATGCTCCAGCTGTGCCCTGCAGCACCGCACACTCGCCCCAAGACTCACTCGCTGCCCACTCCCTCAGAGCAGCAGGGCTCAGCGGGGCCCACGAGGGGGGTGGGCGCCCACCCATCTGGGAGCTGCTTCGGGTGCTGGGCAGGAAGTCATGGCTGTGTGGGAGGCAGGGGCCTGGGGAGTCGGTGCCAGAACTGGCCGGCCACTGGCCCTGCAGGGTCGGTCCCGCCTGGCCGCCACGCCCCCCACAGTGGCCCGGGCTGGACGGGGCCTGTGTCCCCCCCCCCGCCCCCAGGGCCCAGGACGCGGGAGGGCCGCCCACCTGAGCTTCAGGTTCTCCATGAAGTGCTCCATGGTCACCTCGTCCAGAAGCACAAAGTCTGCTTTGCCGCACTCGGGACCTTCGTCCTCCATCCTGCGGGAGCTGAGCCCAGGCCGGGCGCGACCCCACCTTCCCGCCACGGCCCACACTCTCCCCTCTGCCCGCCCCGCCTCCCCTGTGGTGAAGTAGGAAGTGGGTTCAGGCCCGGGAGGGGCTGCCTCCCTTCCAGTGAGGGGCTCTGACCCCTGCTTCCTGGGCGGGCCGCCTGCCCTGTGGGCCGGGTGGGCGGTTCCTCCAGGCCCGGAGGAAACGCACCCCATCGCCAACCCACCCTCCCCAGCAGCCGAGCACCCAACGGAGCGCCCTGCAGTGGAGGGAAGGTTCTGTCACCCCGCCCCACCCCGCACGGCTGCCAGCTCTGCCCTGGGCCCGGCGGGTGTAGGGTGGGCACAGGGCCCCTTGGTGACAGTGGGCAAACACCGTGCCCTGGCCTTTGTGTGGAGATGTCAGGACGTCAAGGACAAGCCCCGCTTTGCCTGGGACCTGCCGTGGGGCGGGCGGGCCGGGTCACAGGCCCTGGTGCGTTACAGAGGCCCTCCCCGTGCCGGCCGCCCACCCACCCTCGGCGGGAACGGCCGGGACCAGCCTCCGGGCCCCTCGCTGTCTGCCGCCCGCGGTCAGCAGCCGCTCAGCCTTGTGCCGAACAGCATGCGTGACCAGGGTGTCCTCCGGGCGGGGCAGGTGGCTCTCTGCGTCCTCCCCTCCACAGGGGGGCCACGAGTTTCCCAAACTCAGCCACGTGCTGCCCTGGGGATTCTGCACTCAGAAAGCTACTTTACCGAATAATTGTCTTTCCCGAACTCCCTTCCTAAGCTCCGGAATAACTGATGTGCAGTCTCCACCCCCTCAAGAACCTTAAAACACACACCAACGTCATCAAACTGAACAGTGCTTATCCCGATGAACCAGGTGAGCTCCCAGCAGAGCAGCCTTTGGCTCTACCCAGGGGTCCCCGGGGCAGCCCACCCGCCCGCCCGCCCGCGGGGGCTGGTGCTTTTAAGGCCTTCCAGCCCGAAGCTGGGGAGAACCTGGGGAGTTCCGCGCAGGCGGGCGGCAGTTTCACTTCTCCCAGCCCCGGGTCAGCATCCTGGGTTTGAGTAAACTCAGAACTGAGGACAGGGGGCCCCAGAGCGTCAGGGACAACGAAACCCGAACTTGGCCACATTTTCACGTCACAGAAGTTTCTTTCCGTTACTTTTTTCATGTAAAACGTCAAGACCCTTTCAGGGATGTGGCTTCCAGGCCCCGGCTCTGGGCCTGAAGCTCACCCAGCCCTCCACCAGACAGCCTGGGGGAGCCCCACCGCCACCTCATTCCTCCGGGGTGAGTGACAGGACACCCAAGTCCTTCCCCTTCCTGGGTGCTGCCTGGTCTGCCTCAGGGCTGTCCTGGGAGCTCAGGGGGTGGCCTGACCCCTTCCCTGCAGGGCCACAGCTGGGGCAGGGCAGGCAGAACAGCAGGAGGGGGCAGCAGGGCCCCTCCCGTCTCCTCTGGAGCCCTTTTTTTAAGCGATTCTTTAACGAACCATGTAGGCCCCTTTCCCCTCATTCGCACCCCATCGCTGTCTGTCCCTGGGTGCTGCATCCGCATGGCAGGTCTTTGGCCGATTACGTGCCTCCCCCCACCCCGGCTCGGAGGAGCTTCCGCTGTCCCACACCCACGTCCTCGGGACCACTCCAGATGCTTCCCGGAGGTCCCCGGCGATGCCAAGCTGGTCACCGCCCCCTTCCCTGAGTCCGGAGGCCCCTCCCCTGGGCTGTGTGGCTGACCGCACTGCCTCGGCGAAGAACCTGCAGTGCTTTTCCGTTCGTCCTCACTAGCGACCGAATGTGAACCAGCCCCTCAGCCGGCGTGTGGCTGGGGACCCCGAGTGCACAGCAGTGGCTGCAGCCAGCACTTGTCAGATGGAACGGACGCTGCAGACCAGAACCCAGCCAGGACTCAGGGGAAGTGGCCCGAGCGCAGCCCTTCCCACCCAGTTGGCAAAGGCGCACGTGAGGGCTCGGAGGCACTTCGACTTGGCCCAGGCGCCTTCAGGGAGGCAGGTCTTCCTTTTTGTGCTGCGCGGACTTTGGGGAGGAGAGAAGCAGGCTGGACTCGATCGCTCATTTAAAGCTGTTTATTAACCCCCCGTTCTCATTCAGATGCCAGAGGGAAGACACAGGGCCAAAACCTGGGGTCAGAGAAGATGCCAGCCTGGAGCCACTACCAGCCCAGAACCAGGAAGCGACTTCTTGCAGAGGGGAGCAGTGAGGGCCTGGATTTAAATCCTGCCGCCCCTCGCTGGGCGTCCAGCGTCGGCATCCACTGCATCTGTAAAACAAGACACTGCTGGGGAAACTGACGACACGCCAGAGGCTGCCGGCCGCGGGGCCAGTGGCCAGAGCAGCCTTAAACCACCCTGGGCTCCCACTCCCGACTCCTGCCCCCCCTCTGCTGACCAGAAGGCCCCGGGGAAAGAGTGCAGGTGGATCCAATGCCTCACACTCAGCCCAGGCCCTGACACCTGTCCACGGCCCGCCCAGTCTCGTGTGCTAGGAGTTGAGCAGCCCTCCCGGGACACTCACCTGACCGCCAGGACGGAGGGGCCAGCCTCACGCCCCGAAGGGAACCCTCTTCTAGCTCCGACGTCCGCGAGACACTGGGGAGGGCGGGCGCAAGTGTCAGGCGCTGGGCAGGAACAGCTGTCTCAGGCACGGCTGACAAGGTGGTCCCACCAGGTTTGTGGGTGCCCTCCTGGGAGGAAGCCGGAGGCCTCAGCGAGAACCGGCTGGTTAGCCACAGGCAGTAAGCACCAGCATTGCTCCCAGGGGGACGTGAGCGGGGCGCCCTGCCTGCAGGGGCCAGAGCGCCGACCAGCACTCTGCTCGGGAGGGGCTACCCGACAGGACAGTCTGGGCCAAAGGCCAGCCAGAGCCTCACCCCAGAACCGAAGGAACACGAGGCTCCCGCACACACCAGTGTCTCCTGACGGCCACTCTGCAGAGGCCAGCGTGCCCATGTCTTCACTCAGACAGGAGAGGAGCCCTGGAAGGAAGGAGGCAGAGTGGGACCCTGCATGCACCATGCCGGCCACCTTTCCCTGGCGCCCACCCCAACTGCACCCATCAGCCCCCACACCAGGGCGAGGACCCAGGGCACGCCCTCCTGTCTGCGGGGCCGAAGGCCTGGCGTCCACTTGCAACCTGCCAGTGTCTGGCTGGGTGAGCCCGGAGAAGGGAGTTAGAGCAGAAGGCGCCGCTGTCTGCCTTGGCCTCCCCTGAGCACCGAGGGGTGGGTGGGGCATGCCTGTGCTGTCTGGTGGGCACTGGCCGCTGGCCCTGATAGCACCAGCTGCCTCAGGCGGATATGGCCGAGGGGAAACCAAAGGCGAGGCCAGAGCTGCCCAAAGAGGCTGTCCCAGCGGAGGGCCCCCTGCTGGCAGAAACAGGTCCCTGACAACACTGACTCCACGGGCACATCCTCAGATATTCCAGGAGCCGCTGGTACTCAATGTGGGATCCAGGTCTAGCTCTGCCCTGGCCCCAGATATTCCAGGAGCCCTGCCAAGGCTGAGGGTGTCAGACCCCCAGAAGGGAACACACAGCAAGAGCAGAAGTTCCTGCCAGCTGTGCCCCACGCAGGCTCCCTGTCAGAGAAGTACGGGAAGTGAGGAGTCCAGCCAAGCCAGCCAAGAGAGGCTTGGCTTCCTACCGGGGTGACCCCGGCAGCAGCTTGTCCTTCCTGACCGGCTGCCGGCCCACAGGCACCTGTGTGGGCACAAGGGCCTCCAAGGCTGAAGACGGAGAAAAGGGCAGGGATGGGCACCCCCAGCTCCTTGCCTGTGGGTCCCTGTGGTCTCCGCCTACAGCCCCTGCCTCTCTCAAGGTCACCCTCGCCTCCAGAAAGGTCACTGCCATGGGGCTTCCTACACCCCGCTCCCCCCTGAGACCCTCAGACGGCCCAACCAGCGTTCTTGTCTCCTGCTGGGATCTCAGCCACACCAGCCTCTCCACAAGCAGTCCCGGACGAGGTGCGATGTGTCCCCCGGCCCTCTGCCCCCCAGCCAAGTGCGAGGCCACCCGACCCCCCACCAGCTGTGGTTCCAGCCCACTGGCCCGCCTTCTGGGTTCCCCTTGCCCCCCAGGGCACCCTTCCTTTATGACTTCACCCACGGAAGTCACCGGACAATGCTGAACGTTCCACCCGAGCAGGGCCTCCAGGAGGCAGGGCAGCCACCGCCAGCCCAGAGGACTCTGCAGTGCGGGTGCGGACACTGCTGGCCCATGTCTCACCGGGGTGCAGAGAGCAGCCTCAGAGGCACAGGGTGCTCCCGGCACCATGGACGATGCTGCCGTCCTCAAGCGGCGAGGCTACATCTTGGGGATAAATTTGGGAGAGGGCTCGTACGCAAAAGTCAAATCCGCGTACTCTGAGCGCCTGAAGTTCAACGTGGCGGTCAAGATCATCGACCGCAAGAAAGCCCCCACAGACTTCTTGGAGAAGTTCCTTCCCCGGGAAATCGAGATTCTGATCATGCTGAACCACCGCTCCATCGTCAAGACCTACGAGATCTTCGAGACGTCCGAGGGCAAGGTCTACATCATCATGGAGCTGGGGGTCCAGGGCGACCTCCTCGACTTTATCAAAACCCGGGGGGCCCTGCAGGAGGAGGACGCGCGCAAGAAGTTCCACCAGCTCTCCTCCGCCATCAAGTACTGCCATGACCTGGACATCGTCCACCGCGACCTCAAGTGCGAGAACCTGCTCCTCGACAAGGACTTCAACATCAAGCTGTCCGACTTCGGCTTCGCCAAGCGCTGCCTGCGGGACGAGGGCGGCCGGCTGGCCCTGAGCAAGACCTTCTGCGGGTCGGCCGCGTACGCGGCTCCCGAGGTGCTGCAGGGCATCCCCTACCAGCCCAAGGTGTACGACATCTGGAGCCTGGGCGTGATCCTCTACATCATGGTGTGCGGCTCCATGCCCTACGACGACTCCAACGTCAAGAAGATGCTGCGCATCCAGAAGGAGCACCGCATCAACTTCCCGCGCTCCAAGCACCTTACGAGCGAGTGCAAGGACCTCATCTACCGCATGCTGCAGCCCGATGTCGGCCGGCGGCTGCAGATCGAAGAGGTCCTCAGCCACCCCTGGGTGCAGCCCAGGGCCGGGGACCTCAGCAAGGAGGGGGGCGGCCTCCTGGCCCCCGAGGCCCGGCGGACCCCCGAGCCCTCGCGGACTGCCGTGCCCTCGCGGACCCCGGAGCTCCGGGCGGAGCCCCCTCGGACCCCGGAGCTCCCTCGGACCCCGGAGCTCCCTCGGACCCCGGAGCCCTCACGGACCCAGGAGCCCCCTCGGACCCAGGAGCCCCCTCGGACCCTCGCGCCCCCTCGGACCCTCGAGCCCTCTCGGACCTCGGAGCACAGCTCTGAGAAGTCCACTCTCCCCCCGGAGTCCCAGGAGGAGGCCGAGCCTGAGGAGATGCCAGAGTCCAAGCCCCAGGAGGAGACGGGGCCAGGGCAGGGCACCGGGCAGCTGGAGCCCATGGAAAGGCGCTCTCTAAAGCCCCCGCAGAACCCGTGAGCCTCCCCCAGGGCCCAGGGGCTGGCGGGCGGAGGCAGAGACACAAGGCCGTGATGGTCGACCCCCCAGATGAGCCACTATTTTTGTCAATTTCCCTCCTTCCTCTGAGCATGCTACAGAAGCAATAAATCACTATATTGGTCCATAAACAGGGTGTAGGGTCAATGAGCTCTAGCCAACATCACTGCCCACCTCTCCTCGGCACACGGAGCTCACCAGCCGTCCGTGCACCACAGGATTCAGCTTGTGGTTCTCCAGGTTGTCTCCTGGACCCTCAGGACAGGGCTCGTCTCCCTTGCTGCTCCCTACTCCCTCTCCCTGCAGCTGACCTGCCTCCACTCCTCCACTCCCCAAACTTGTTTGTTTGTTTTTTAAGGTATTTTTATTTATTTCAGAGAGGGACAGATAGAAACATCAATGATGAATCATTGATCAGTTGCCTCCTGCACGCCCCCCACTGGGGATGGAGCCTGCAACCCCGGCAGGAGCCCTTGGCCAGAATCAAAACTGGGACACTTCAGTCCTCCAGTCAAGGCTCTACCCCCTGAGCCATACCAGCTAGGGCTCCTCCAGCTTCTTGTCAGTGTCTGTGAGGATACGATCAAATAAATGTGTGACAAGCCTAGAACACAGCAAACAACCTAAGGCCCAAAGCGCTTTCTGCAAAAACGTGACTGCTGTGGGGTCTGCCCTGCAGCGCCATCCGCCCCACCTAGTCCCTGTGAGCACCGGAGCCTGGGTGCGGTGAATGGAAGTGGGACTTGGGTTTGGACTCAGTGGTTACCACGGGGCAGTGCAGATCCGGTGTCCAGCACGCCGGGCCCTGGGCGGGAGCACCCGGCTGTCTGAAATGTCTATAACCTTGCTCCGGATGCAGCAGGGCAAGGCCTCAAACCGTTCCAAAATGCTCTCGCAAGCTCGGTAGGAATGCACAGGGTCACCCCAGACCCAAGCACGCTGGAGGCTTGCAGCCCCGCCCCGCCCCGCCCCGCGCCGAGTGGCCCGCGTGGGCTGCCTGGGGACCCGGGACCGGCGGCCTCATCAAAGGACGTCTCTGACACACACACCGCCATTCCAGCCCCGAGAACTTACCAGACCTGGGGGTTGTCCGTGCCGTCACGTCACTGGCAAACACAGGCTCGCTTCACGTGCTTCCTCCGGTGGGGCTCCCCTGCGGGATCACAGGCAGGACCACCAGTGACAGCTGCCCCTGAGCCCGGCGGCGGGGGACGGGGCGCTCAGCTCCGGGGCCTCGAGGCGCCGGGCTCCCTCCCCCGGGGAAGCCGCCCCAGCGCGTCCTGACCACCCCAGGCCCGTGTCAGGTGGCGCCGGGCACAGGGGGCCCCTCCCGCCCGCGCCCCTCACCAGTCTCCGCACTCTGCCGCCCGCCTGCAATCCCGATGGACCCGGATGAAAACCACAGCCCAGGCGCCTCGCAGAACCGTCCCACGGTAACCGCCGGCCATGGCTACCGCCTCTGGCGCCGCGCACGCCGCTTGCGTCATCACGCACTCCGCCGGAAGCGGCACGCGACGTCCGCTGCTCGCGGCCCCGGGGAAGCGACGTTTCGGGTTGCGGGCCGGGCCGGAGCCGGGTAGCTGCGCCCGTCGGCGGTTCCTGAGGGGACAACGCCCCAGTCCAGGCTCAGTGCCGCGAGCCTGCCACCCGGGCGGGGCGGGGGCGGCGGGGCCCGGGCGGCCTGGAAGTTCCTTGTGAGGAACTGAGCCGGGGGCTCCGCAAGTGAAAGCGGATGTTGGTCCACCCTGTTCCAAGTGGAAGGACCTTTTGCCAACAGAATCCCAGTCTCTGCCCTTTTCAAGTGAACGCACATCCCTAATGGCTCGTCTCACAATCCAGGAAGTCCGGGGGGAGGGCAAGGGCCCCACCTGTCACCTGACTCCAAGTCGCACGGCCTCCCCGCACCTTCTGCAGGCCGGGCACGCGCAGGGCCCAGCGGGCCCCGCAGAGCAGGAGCAGAGAGAGTCGGAGCCGAGAGGCAGGACACGCAGCTGCAGGGCACCCTCCCTGAGGAGAACGGGTGGGGACAGACACTGGCTTGGTGGGTAGCGGTTCGCACAGCCTGTGCTGCAGGGTCCGCACTGACAGGCGGCGTGGTTCGTGGCAAGACAGCGGCCTGCAGCCTGGCTGCCCTTTGCAATGTGCTTTCTTTCGGGCAAAGCACCGATCCCAGTTGGCTGGTAGCGTCCACGACTTATCCCGGTGCGTGTGGACGGTGAGGGAGCAGCCTCGGGAGCTTCGTGGTGTAACTTGAAATTGGCTTCCTGCACGGCTTCCTGCACGCTGAGGAGAGAGACCACTCGGAGTCGGCAGGTGACAGGTTTAACCAACCAGGTAACTTATTAGGACGAGCTCGCTCTCACCTTCCTGTTAGTACCGCCCCTCCTCCAGCTGGCCCCGCCCCTCCCCTCAGGCCCCGCCCCTCCCCAGGTCCCTCTTCCCCTTCCTTTGGCCCCGCTCCTCCGGCCCCGCCCTCCTACTCACGCCTGCCCGTGGTCGGCCTCCCTGAGCGCGAGGCAGGCCGGGAAGTTGGCTGCCGTAAAAATGGCGGCGGAATCCAAAAGCTGAAGTTGCTCCGGGGACCCTGAGGGGCAATGGGCGGGCTGGGGGCGGGAAAGGGGCGCGACAGACGCGCTCCCGCGGCCCCGAGGGCGGGGCGGGGCGGGCGCCATCCCACCGCCCTAAACGGCTGGGGGCGGGGCGTTAGGGGGCGGGGCCGAGCCCGGGCCCGGAAGTGCAGGGTGCGGGGTGCGGACGGCCCCTGGCGGCCGCGGGCGGAGACGGCGCAGGGCGGCGGGCGGGCAGCGCAGGAACGCGGCTGCGGCGGCCGCGGGGCCCGGCGAGCATGTAGCGGTCGCGGGGGCGCGGGGCTCCGTGGGCGGGCCGGCCGCGGGGACCGCTCGCGGCGACATGGAGGAGGAGGGCAAGAAGGGCAAGAAGGTGCGTCCTCCGAGGGCCGGGCGGGGGCCGAGGGGCCGGCCGGGGGCCCGGGAGCTCCGCTCAGCGGGCGCGAGCGCGGGCGCGGGGCGGCCGGGGGAGGGCGGTCCGGGCCGGGAGGTCGGACGTGCGGAGCCCAGCGCCCCGGCGGGCGGCGGAGGAGGCGCGCCCGGGACAATGCCGGTAGGTGGTCCGGGCCGGCCGGCGCGGCTGCGGAGGAAGGAGCCACGCCTTTCCGGCCCGTCGTGACTCCCCCAAACCCGGCTCCGCACGTGGCCTGGCCCGGGGGCACTGCCCGGGCTGCGCGGGCTCTCCCGGGACCGGAACCTTGGAGACGGGGCTCCGCGCGATGTACCGAACCTTTGCTGCTTCGAGTCCTCACGTTGTTGGGACCGAGTGAGGCCAGAAGCTGTGCCCGCCGGGCGCGTTTCCAGGTCGGGTTTCCTCCACCCGGCGCCATCGGGGGTCTCGGTGACGTGACGGTTCGCAGTTGGATTTTGGACGCGATCGTTGGAGAGACTCCTTAGTTTTTGCGGTTTCTAAGATGCGGCGCTAAGGACGGGGTAGTAGAGTAGATAAAGAATTTCACCCTCATATGGAGACTGACCGGGCCACGTAGGGCAGGCTACCGTTACCACGGAGAAGGGTTTCAGTGAGATGTGCCTTTTTCAAATCCAGGCTTGATAACCTGCCTAGAAGCGTCCCACCTACCACTTTTGGTCCAGGAAGTGTGTGCGTGTGCACTTTCCCATTTAAGCTCAGCCCTGCGGTCTTACCTCCGCCGAGGTCCTCACCCACCACCTGCCTCACCACGTTCCCGGCTTGGAAACGCTGCGCTGGGAAGGGGTTCTGGCAGGTGGGGCCCAGGGGTTGCCTGGTGCTGCCTCTCTCACCTCGGTTGCTAGTTCTGTGTCAGCCTGAGTGCGGGAGCAGTTACCTACAGAGATGTTTAAATCTGGAAAACGCCCAAGCAAGTGATTCAGCCTGAAGCGCTAGCCTGCAGAGGCTGCCCACCGCAGAGGAGGAGAGCCGCGTGAAGCTGGTGCCAGCGCTGGTGGAAGGCCCTGGAGGACCTTCATTCAGGCAGCGACAGGCCAGGGCCCCGCAGAGACCAGCCTCGCTCCAGTCTTCTCAGTCAGGCCAAACTCTCCCTACTTGCCAAGGAGATTCGCTGGGAATATGGGGCCGGCTGAATTTCTTCTAGAACTTTCTACCAGCTTTGGTAGAAACATTACACCAGTATTGGGGAGACAGACATTCCTGAGCTTTTGGGATAGAAGTGAAAAGCCGGTAAAACTCAGGAAGGAATGTCGGAGTTGTGGCCAGTGGAGAGATTCAGGCCCAGAGATTACTGATGCATGTCCTTGCTGCAGCGGGATTCACTGTCTCCGGTGGGGGACACATAGTAGCCTCAGCTGGGAGGGCGCTGGGGATTCACTGTCTCCGTGGAAGACACATAGTAGCCTCAGCTGGGAGGGCTCTGGGGGTTCACTGTCTCCGTGGAAGACACATAGTAGCCTCAGCTGGGAGAGCCTCTCTCTGCTCTGCGCCTTGCAGCTCGTTTTCCCACAGGCGGCCACGGGCTCTGGGACGGGCTTCCCACCCAGGCCACCACTCGGCACACCTCACCTATTGCCCCGTGCCAGTCGCCCCTGGGAACCCTGCTGCTCTGCTCCTCCAGGCGACGGCGTTTTCATCGTGGTAAACTAAACCACACACATGGGTTCAAGCTGAAACAGCAGGAGTAATGACAGTAACTTCATGAAAGTAAGTTGGGCGTTTTTTAAAAAAACATATTTTTATTGATTTCAGAAGGGAGAGGGAGAGAGAGATGCATCAATGATGAGAGAGAATAATCGTTGGGCCGCCTCCTGCACAACCCCTACTGAGGATCAAGCCCACAACCTGGGTATGTACCCTGACTAGGAATTGAATATAGAATGATATTCAATCCATGGAGCCACCACAGCCAGTTGGACATGTAAATTCTCTTCCCAAGTTAGCGTCCTCAAAAATGCAGCTTTGCCCTTACCAGTTTGGTTCAATGGATAGAGCTTTGGTCTGTGGATTGAAGGGTCCTGGGTTTGATTCCAGTCAAGGGCACATGTGGTCTCGGTCCCCAGCAAGGGGCATGCAGGGGGCAGCTAATTGATGATTCTCTCTCATTGATGTTTCTAACTCCCTTTACCCTCTCAGAAATAAATAAAAAGATGTTTTGTAAAAAGGCAGCTTTATCTCTAACAGCGTGGGTGGCAGGCGCATCTGGGTCTTCGTACTTGGTGCTTGTCTTGGTGCTCGTCAAGTCGTTCTTCAGGCTCGTGCTAACATGGCCTAGTTCCCCGGACAGGAAGCTGCCGAGAACCAGGGGAACCAGTGGATTTCCTATGGAGTGGCCCAGGTTCCGCCTGTCCTCAGGCTCCCCTGGCACGGAGGAGGAGGGTGAACCCTGCCAGATCCCATGGAAGACTCTGGGCGGTGGGGATGCAGGAGGAGCCTGGGGGGCGGTGGTGAGCATGGGGACAGAGAGGTCTGCTGGGCCCAGAGTGACCGGTGCCTTGCAGGCCACACGTCCTGATTGGTGGTTTGGAGAAGACACCTGCCTCCTTCCCAAGTGAACCTCAGTTTTGTGCGTTTGACACTATTCTGTCAGGATGTAACTCCTCTTGTAAGAAACGTAGGTTACACTTGAGTTGGGTTGGGCACATTTTTACAAAAACATTTGACTTAGTTGAGGACCACAGTGATAGGGGGAGGCGGGGGGAAGGGGTGCAGAAACGAAAAAGAGAGGGTGGTGAGGCGTCTGGGAATGCGGGCTGGGTCTGAGATGGTGATGAGGGCTTACTATTAGTCATGTTGTGTGTGATATTTGTGTTTCATCCTGTTCTGATCTGAGGGACGTCCATGCCAAGATGTTCTAGGCGGAATTCTGTGATTTGTGAGATGCGTGTTATTCAAGCTAGAAGAGGAGGGAGACACTGAGTGTTTTGGCAGTGGGTGTTCGGTATTTATTCTGTCTACAGTGGTGAATTCCTGAGGATTTCCGTGTAAAAAGTGGGTTATGGTCCCAGGTTACCAGCTCCGGGACCTGCCAGCTCACCCAGGTTGAGAGCGTGGCCTGTGACACATCTGTGGCTCCCTCCCTGGCCAGTGAGCTCCGTGGTCAGAGATCAGCCTGTGCACCCCGGGTTGTCAGTCCCATTTCTGGTCCAGGGCAGGTACCTGGGTCGTAGGTTCGATTCCTGGCCCTGGTTGGGGTGTGTGTTGGAGGCAACCCATCAGTGTGTCTCTCATTGTTGTTTCTCTCACTTTCTCTCCCTCCCCCTCCATCCACTCTCTCTAAAAAGCAGTGGGAAGTGCCCTGGGGTGAGGATTAACCAAAACAAACAAACAGCAAGCTGCAGGGACTCCAGGCTCAGGCAGTGGGCTTGTGTGAGGCCCGAAGACTCACCTTCTCCGAGGTGAGCACAGGTGTGTAACCTTGTGTGTGAATGAACTGCAGGAGCTGGTGCCTCCTGCAAGCCTCCTGTCCCTGCAGCTGCTGTGGAGATAGTGGCCCGGCTGCCCTGGTCACTCTGGGCTGAGTCCAGGTCAGCTGGTCAGCACGAAGCCCCCTCCATTGGCCGCCGA